ATGCAAATAAAGAAACTTAAAAAATGATAAAGAATTATTCTTAATTATATATAAAAAAAAATATTATGCAATTTAAATGATATTAATCTACACAACACTAATTATTAAATAAAAATTAAAACCCTTAATATTAGAGTTATTTTTTCATTTAAAACTCTAATATTAAGAATCATTTCTCTATTTCTCCATTTAATGATTTATATTTTATCATTTGGTATAATCTAGAGAGGAAAACAAGATTTCAATTATGTAAAAATATTTAACAATGTACTTGGTGTTGATCATCAAAGTTAAAATCCAAGTCCTGCATTCTTTTCAGAAGTGGCAATGGCATGGACCCAGTTTTCCCACTTGCAGTCGAGATGAGATGGGATGAGGCTGAGGCATCATCCGCCTCGCCTTCTTAGTTCTTCTTACACGCAACCGTCCCAAGTTGGCCCTTTTGGACTCTTTGTAGAGGGGTCGGCTGTCGTTTGTGGCTATGGTAAACGAGGGTGTGATGAGCCCACACGTGTCAAACACGACGCCACGTCATCATCTCTCCCAATTCCATTGACCTGTTAGGCTGTGTTTCACCTTTTGGAGTAATGGAATCTCACACACCAGTTTCGTCGGTAGGACAACCTGAGTGGGGGAGAAAGAGAACGTGTGGATCACATGTATCTAAACAATTTGGTGTGTCTGAGGTTTTAGTGCTTGATTAGACATGAATTTGTGCACACACACATGACGTTGAGAATGGGGCGTTGAAAATTTTGTAAAGCTTCTGTTTGAGAGTTGAATTCAACACAACTACTTTTACAACAGCGCTAAATTATAAATTTATAAACAAAAACTTAATAAAGAAATTTCTACATCAAAGCCTTTTTTTCCGAGTACTCATTTAGAGTAACTCAAATATTAATTAACTTCTAACTAAGTATTACTATCTTATAGATTAGAGTTTGAGTTAAAGTTTTGTTGTCAAAACTTCAAGAAATTAACTTTTTTTTTACTATACGTACCAAATTGATATATACACAATACTCTTAAAATCATCATTCAAAAAATTATTAACCTGGATATATAAAAAGATAACTTAAAAATATCTTGGCTGTCTAAAAAGAATGCTAATTTAAAAATTTAGAAATTGCAAATAGTTTTTAAAAGGTCAAAAGTACTTTTTAAAATATATTTTGATTCACTTTAAACTCTTATAATAAAAATTATATTTTTAGACAAAAAATAACTTGTGAATCATATATTTTATAATCATTAATAAAAAATAAATCCCTTAATATTTAGATAATTTGTTCGTTTTTTATTACTCACTCCAGTAAAATTTGGTAGTTTTATTTAATTATTTTATTTTTTTAATAGAAATTTTAAATAAAAATTTATTATATTTATAATAATATTTTTTTTGTAAAATAAAAACATTAAATCAGAATTATTTATTAAAAAAATTTTAATTATTAAATTTTTATTTAAAATTTATGTTTTAAAATTAAAAAATTAAATTAAAATTGTTAAAAATAGACAAGATAATAATAAATATATATCAGAGAATTAAGTATTTTAAATTAAAAAAATATATATTAGCCACAATACTAAAAAATAATTAGAATTTCAATTTCAAACTATCTTATTTTATTTAATTAAAATTTAATTCAAAATTTAAAAAATTATTTTATTAAATATTGATATATTAAAATATATAATAAAATTTTAAATTTAAATATTAATATTTAATAAGATGAGATTTTAGTTTTTAGATATAAATTAAAATTTTAATTATTTTTGAGAGTAAATACTAACATAAACTAATCTCATTAAATTTTTTTATAATCTCTCACTAACTAAATATCTAAATATAAACTATTTTCGTATCTCTTAATAATATTTAAACATGTATGATTTTGTTTCTTTCACATAGTAAACCGGCCACTTAACCAGTTCTATTAAAAAAATAAAAAACGTAATTTCATAGTCATTAAAAACAACTGTTTCATAAATTAAACCCAATGAAAAGCAAGACCCCAGATAAACCTCTCTCAGTTACTCTTAACAGAAAATGAAAAAGGTTAAATGCTAAATTTGGTCCCTCAACTTTAGTGAGTTGCACTTTTTTGGTCCCTCAACAATTTTTTGTACTTTTTTGATCCTTCAACCATAATAAATGCACTCCGTTAGTCATTTTGTCAATTTAGACCGTTAACTACGACTCGTGACATTTTTTATAATTTTTTTATGACATGGCAAAAACAATTTAAAAAAGCGTTGATTTGAAATTTTTTTTAAGACACGTCATCGTCAACTCATCGCCAACTCATAAACAAATTTTACTTTAATAAAAAAATAGAAAATAACAAATTTACCCATCTCTCTTTCTTGATACATCTTCTTCCCCTCTTTCGATCATCTTCTTCCTTTCTTTTTTTTCTTTTTCTTTCTTCCTCTTCTTTCTTCCTCTTCTTTCTTCCTCTTCCTCTGTGTCTGCTGGGTTCGGTGGAACCCAGCAACTAGGTTCATCGAACCCAACAAACTAGGTTCCACCCGAACCCAGCAGATCTGGGTTCGAGGAACCCAGTTGTAGCAACTGGGTTCACCGAACCCAGCTCGGGTTTGATGAACCCAGGCTGGGTTTCGTCGAACCCAGCTCCAATTTTTTGTTTTTGTTTTTGTTTTTTTTGTTATATGTTTGTTTGCAAAGATTATCCAAGTTGCAAGTTGTGAGGGATTTTTGGATCTTTTTCTTCATATTTTTTAAGTGTTGTCTAAATGATTTCAATGTTCAAAATGGAAAGAACAGAAGTAGTTGGGCAAAGGCGGGTTTCCATTTGTTTGGCTGGAAAATGGTATGGTTTGGGTGTTTGGATGCTGAGAAAATGCTTTAAATTTGTTTGGTTGCCGAGATTTAAATTTGTTTAGTTGCCGAGATTGATTACCGAGAATCTATAATGTCCGTTAAAGAAAAAAATTTGATGAGAAAATTGTGATTTAATTATAAATTAATTTAGAATCTTAATTTTGATTAATATAAATAATTATAGTTTAATGATGATTAATTAATAAAATTTGATTTGATATTATTTGTTATTCGAGTAAATATTTAATTTAATTTGTTATATTATTAAAAAAATATAAAAAATATCACTTAATTTTTTATGTCATCAAAAGATATCTTTTTTTATTAGTGATGTAGGACCCATTTGAGTAGATTTGGTGCCATGTCATCAAGAAACAAATTTCTTTATTAGTGATGTGGGACCCATTTGAATGTATTTGGCACATAGTAACATGATATGTCAAAATATTTGTCCATGTCATCACTTTTCTAAATTTTGCTTTCCACATTATCAAAAATAAAAAATGCCACATAAACGAAGTTAACGGCTCAAATTAATAGAAGGACTAACGGAGTGCATTTCTTATAGTTGAGGGATCAAAAAAGTACAAAAAATTGTTGAGGGATCAAAAATGTGCATTTTTTAAAGTTGAGAGACCAAATTTAGCATTTAACCAAATGAAAAGGCCTAACCCCTATTTGTAACTTATATATATATATATATATCTTTAGATATATATATTTTTATATTGATTATACAATAAAAAGTAATTTTTTTCATTATTTATTTTACTTCACTTGTATGTCATGTAATTAAAATTCAAAATCTTTTACTTTCAACGAAAAAAATATTACTATTGTGTTATTTAGTTCGTTGGCTATATATTTAGATATCTTAAATTAATTTTTATTTTGATTAATATTTTTTATTATTTAAAATTTATGAAAATTTTAAAAATTAATTGTTAATTTCTTTATTTGTACCTTGAATTTATAGTTAAATTTTTTATTTACAACATAGTTTTATTAATAATTTAAGCTTTTTTTTTTATAAATTTTAAATTATAAAAGTTGTTGATTAAAATGAAAATTAGTTTAACGCGTTAGACCTACTAAAGAAAGAAATGTGTGGGGATGAAATGGCGAGTTCGGCCAAATGATAATGGTGCCATCGCCTTCTCTACTTCATCTTCCTCTCGCAAAACCCTTCATTTTTCCTTTTTAAGCAGCACCATTTTTTTACGGACAATGATACAGAGAACGAATAAATGGAACGAATTATTGGGACCAATGACATGGCATACTACGTTATTAATATATTAAATTAAGTTATGTTTTTCTGTTTATCTTCTACCTCTTTTTTGATTTTTTTTTTCTTTCCAAATCTCCTATATTTCTCTCTCATCTCCCCATTTTTTGCCAAGCTCCTCCATTGTGTGGACCTCTCCAAACTCAAGGACCAGGCTTAAACCCATCTTGGCAATCGAAACCCATAGCCGTCGCTTTAAAATTTTTTTTTTTTTTAAAACGAAAATAAAAAAAAAAACTAAACCCTAATCATTTGGTAAAATTGAACCCTATTTAAGAGAAACCCTAAATCTATCCTTAGTCTTTGCAAGGGGATGAGAAAAATAGAGACAAATGATGAAGATTTGAAAGAGAGAACTTGGATTTGGATGAAGCCGTAACAAAGAAAAACTTACAGCAAAAATAGAGAGAATGAGTAAAGGAGATGAATACGATGAATTTTTTTAATATTTATTAAAATATATACTGAGTGGCATGCCACGTCCCTTGAAATCGTCCCTTCTTTTCGTCTTTCTCATCGTTATTCTTTTTTTACCCTTTAAAGCAACATATATTAGTCTCTGCCAAAGCTTCTTCTTCCATCTTCACCTTCGCGACCACAATAGAAGATGAGCGAGAACGAGAGCAAAAGACAGACGCGGTCATCATTGCCGAGGATGTGACCCAGGTCTTTTTTTTTTTTTTTTTCCCTCAGAGGGCTTTGTATTTGTATAATTCTATGGAATACACTACTTTTTGAGAGTAACAACTGTAGAAATGGCTGGAACATATCAGCATTTTGACTTATAAAAGACTGCTTGGTATTAAATAATTAAATGGTTCTAATCCTTGCCCCAATAAAGAAGATGGGTCGGGCTTATATTACTTGTTCTAATCTTCTTATTCAAGTAGAATTGGGTTAGTTAGATATTCAAATCTCATTAGAATAGAATCCCTAATCATATAAATACCAACATTAAAGAATTGTAAAGGGTTGATTCCATTATATTTAGTTATTGACAATGTGAAATTATTTTTTAGTTTACCTTCAGTGTAACTGAGATATTATGTTAATTGTGTCTCAATCCACTGGTAACTTGATATTGCATCCTAAATTAAGACACACACAAAGTTCATAGGAAGTAAAATTGACAGTAAATATGAGAGTTTTGACAAATTTTTTTTTTCTTGCAATGGACTAAAATTATATAAAATAAATGAAAATTTTAAAGCTAATGAAAAAAATATATATATAAATTATTAACTTCATTAACAAATTTTCAAAAGTTTAGAGGTTGGGAGCCAGGGCCTCTAGGTCAACCCGTGCCAGACTTAAATTGGTTAAGAATTCAATTTGAGAAACCAATTGATTATTGAAACAAAGTTGAAGGGTTAGATTCTAACCCAGTAAGCATCTTTTTTGGGA